TATATATATAAATAGATAGATAGATAGATAGATGATTGCTTGATAGATAGATGGATGGATAGATAGATAGACGGATAGATAGATAGATAGATAGATAGATAGATAGATAGATAGATAGATAGATAAATAGATAGGAGGAGGAGGAGAGTAAGAAAGAAAAAAGAGAAAGAAAGAGAGAGATACTTAGATAGTGATAGAGTGAATAAGAGAGAGAAACAAGGAGAGAGAGAGAGAGAGAGAGAGAGAGACATAGGGACAGACACAGAGACAGAAAGACAGGGGCGAAGTACCTTGACTAAAAATGTTACTCTTGTTTTTCAGAAAAAAATCCACCCCAAAGAATCTTTTACGGATGGTTTCGAGAACATGCCCAAAGCCTTCATTGACCTCTTCAAAGGAGCTAACTTCGGGAAGGCAATCATCGAATGTTGATCAAAATACTAGCTATCGCCTAGACTGCCAAATATAATTAATTAGCCAGGTGCTCAATGCCAGAACTTGACTGGTTGTTGACGGTAACTCAGGGGGGCCGAACTCAAATAAGACTTCTCTAAAGGTTGGGGGCTGATCTAGTCCAACATTCATTGTGAAGTGAAAAATTTACTAATTAAAAAAAAAAAAACCATTGATAGGAATATAATAATATGAATTTAAAAAGACCAAAAAAAAAATTTGAAAAAAAATTGAACACTCATTGAGTAGTGGAAAAGTAGATCTAAACCTTGTTTCAAATAATGGTGCGAATATAATATTAATAATTGAAATGGACAAAAGTTCGAATTATGAAATATCAAGACATGCCAATTTTCGCTTGTATGTTAATTATTAGTGAGAGCTGGAAGTTTGGGTTCTTTTTTTCTTGACATTAAATTTGTTAGTGCTTGGAGTAGGGTAGGGTTCTGCGTTATCGATATTCTCAGGATGGACTGCCTAGAATTCTCTCGCAGGCCGGACTTAACGGTTCGCCGGGCCATATGGGACCTGCCTGCAGGCCTTGAGTTTGGCACCAAAGGGTTAACTCAATGTCTATAGAACGCCAGTAGCGATGGTTTTTATCGCATGCTCTCAGCTGTTGTCGTATTGACAACAGTGTTGTTTTTTGTACATAATTATTTCGTTATTCTGTGAAATAAATTATACTTATTGTTTAAATTTCTTTTTTATGTTCTGATGTTTTTCACGTGGGTGATTGGCAGGTGCTCTTGTGAGGTTTGCTCTTTCATTTCTATCAAACATTATTACAATTATCTCTCTTTCTTTTTGTGTTTGTTACTGTCTTTTAACATCTCTTATCTTCGACACTTCTAAGGTCCAATTATTTTGCAAGTGTCGTAAAACTCCTACTTAGACTAAGGTGAAGTGTTTATTTATCAAGCTGTAACTTAATTTGAACAATATGTTATACATAATAAACCAACGCACAGACACTATCTAGGTCGTTTATTAGATGGGCTCCTTCGAGTTTGGCTGTCTGGTCCAACCAGGGTTGAGTTGGATACAACATCCCAGCAGACGGACGGAGTTACTAGATGAAAAAAATCAACAACAACAAACACTTCCCCACTTGGGACTCGAACCCATGTCTCCTGTTTGCAAGGAAGAAGGACTAACTGCTACACACTACGGTCTGAATTTTGTCATAAAAGTTTGCATCTTCGATGTCTCACTTTAACCCCGTGTCCACCAAATTAAGTCAAACACTTTTTGTCTTAAGTTACGTTGTTAACAACACTAATTTACAGTTGATGATATCATATTAAAAGAGAGAAATGCCACTCTAGGCAAGAGTGCAATTTAGAAAAGATATTAAAATAACTTTCAAGAACTTCTAAACCCGAAGGTATTCCATGGACAACAAAAAGAAATAAAACCCAAATAATAATATATAAAGCAAACAGAAACACCTGTACTGTCCAGAGATACTGAAAATGGACTTAAAACCAGCCCCAAGAGCAAAACAAAAGGACCAGATGACATCACAGTGGAAGCCATAAGAGCATGTGGAAATATGTATGCTGTGACTGAAGCGAATTTTTAACAGCCTGGGAAGAAAAGAAATGCTATATTAACCTTACGACAGCTATGCAAGAAAACTATCGAGCCCAACTCGGAAGCCGACATTGTCCACTTAGATCAGGAGAAGGTTTTTGATATAGGAAATCGTGTTAAGCAGGCTGTGGAAAACACTTGAAATAATATATGATGTCACAGGACAAATGTTTGAAAAAAATAGAGCTCTATACACCAGCAACGGAGGGTTCAAGAAGAACAAAAGAACGCAACACAAACTGGTTCGAAATAAGATCAAGAGTACGCCATGGATTCGTGTTACCTGCCCTCCTTTAAGTAATACGGACACAATAACTCAAAACGCAAATCCAAGCAGCAAAAGCTTAAATGAACTTGTGTTTGCAGACGACCAATGTTTTATTCATCCAAACCAACACACCCTCCACAGACACATCTCGGGAGTCAAGGTAACCTTGAGAAACTGCGAGATAACATCCCAACTGAAAGAGCTGTAAGGTTTGCTTACCATAGAAAATTGCATCTCGACTTAACACTTAAGGGCAACATACAATGAAAAAGTTACATAAAGTAAAATACCATAAGATGTAAAAAAAACAACAAAAGAAAAACAATGTACACAAAATTTGAACAATTCTATAAGATTATAAGGAAGGATAAATTACAATACTATTTTTCTTAAAACGTGTATGACCTAATTTATCGGATACACGACTAGTGTTGGACACCGACGGCGTGTGAAAGAGTCATGTCGACAGTAAGTGAGTTGTGCTTTTTGCTGTGGTGTTTGCAGTCATCACAGGTGTAATTAATTTGAACGTCTTAGTTTAGTTTGAGTTTAAGTCCTCGGTTACTCACAGGCCCACATTCACAATACAAGCAGCAGACGACCATGATTCAGCAGAGAGTCACTAAAACTAAAACGTAATGACGACGCTATGCTGCATACTTTATCACCGGCGTCTGCGGGGTAGAAGTTAATGTCTTTGGCCTTTGCACACTGGAGACTCAGGTTCGATTCTTGAGTGGGGAAATCTTTTATCAAGTATCTCGGTCATTTGTCAGGGATGTTATGATGTATCCCTCTCACTCCGGGTTGTCTGACAGGCAGGATCGAAGCCCACCTGATAGGGGCGTAAAATCATCTACATTGACATATTCTTTCAAAAATCCGTACATTGTCAGCGTTGCCATTATTTATCGTGCAAATCTTATACATTTGTACAGGGTTAGGGACAGCTTAACCCTATTCGTACGCCCTGGAGTAGTTTTAACCCCCCGGGGTTGTATTCTTCACATTTTAGAATATTTCTAGTGCGAAGATCTCTTTGAAACTTTCAGTATTTCTAAAAAAATCATTTTGACAGACTGCTATACAAAGCGTTGGGATATGACTAACGAGTGCATTTCCTCTTTGAAAGTAGTGGCACAGAGTTCCCCATGTCGTATGGATACGATAGTAAAACACGACGTACGGATTGGGTAAAGCAAACATATTCGGCCCTCTTACACCAAGGACATTTTAGTTCATTACACTGCTGTGGGTTTGCAGATGAGGCAGTTTTGGCCCGGCCGTCTCTCTCTCTCTCTCTCTCTCTCTCTCTCTCTCTCTCTCTCTCTCTCTCTCTCTCTCTCTCTCTCTCTTCACCACCAAGTAACGTCATACTTCTAAACCTTGAGAGGAGTGGAAATTTTCCTTAGTGTGCACGGGGCCTGACGTTCAGGTAGTTTAGACATGTAATAATTATCTAATGCTGTCTTTCATCCACACTCTTAATTCTTGGGTATTTAAGATCGCGACCATCAAGTCTTCTAGAGTAGGGGCGAAAATTCTGGGAGGTCCCAAGTGCAAGTTGCGAACGGTAAAGATCCCTTAGTAGTTCTAAAATCTACGAGAATAGGCATCAGCTGCCACCCAAGCAAAATTCAAACCTCATTCTTGACCAAACTGAAAATACTCCTGTCATTTATTTTTTAAAAACAGAGAGAGAGAGAGAGAGAGAGAGAGAGAGAGAGAGAGA